TCATGGCGAACAGACCACCAGCTTATTGTAATGGTAGTGCTAGAAAAGAACGCGAGCGTCCTTTGCACGATTGCACCACTGTTCCTTACCTATGCCACATGTGGTGAAGTGACCTAGTCGAATCGTGTGATGGGCGATGATGGGCGGATCGTGTCTCGTCCGCTTGGGCCCATCTGTTTCTTACTGCCTGCTTAAGTGCGATAAGCTGCAAATGTACATGAGAAATAGATTGACCGTGGTGCTGTTTCCGGTGCACCCAGAGAATTCAGTTCGCATGCATGACACAATTCTACGGCAGTTATATTGGCTTCTATAGAGAGCATTCCAGTTTCGTTGTAACTTAGAAGCACGCTCTTCTCAGAAAAAGGATCTCAAATAAACTTATCGCTTTGAATAGTAGATGCACGGTACACATATACACGCGGCCGTCTATAAACACGTTGCGGATGGGGTAGGAGCTTTTGGTGAAACACAACCGAGGCTTAAGAAGGGAGGGGTGGTGGACGACGCAACGTCAAGTTCTGGTGTGGTCATAAACCATGCTGAAATCCTTTCACCAAAATGTCTTTACAGCTCAGTCCAGGGAGCAATCATCACAGCTTGAGAAAATGATCGGGCGGGCGGCTCCTTAACGTTAGGCGGTGACGTCACAAAGTCGCCCTGGCTTGAGCAAGGTCCTCGAACAGAGCAGCGGCGTTGTATGCCAACGTCAACGGCGTAGCTTGCAAAGCAGAAGTCACGCAGAAATGCTGTGGTCGGTCTTGTCTATTATCGTGCAACGTGGTATCAAATTCGTGTTGTTATGTGGCCTCGGTGCGTGCTTTTATGTCACGGGTGGGAGAAATGCGAAGTGGTGTGCGAGCATTGGGCAATAGGGAGCATCAAAGGCGTTTTTTTTTTTTGGCAGCAGGATGTCATCCTGTGAGGCGGCCTCTTGCAAGAATGTTGAACAGCGCAATGAAAGCACTTTAGTTTTTTACCTTTAAAAAAAAAACGATCCAACTGTCATGCAAACATGAGTACACCGTTGCTCTTGGACTTACTATAAATGTGGAGAATGCGGTAATCTGATCTGATCATATTCAAGATCATGACTGATCCCGGTCATCTGGTTAAGTCCCACACCCAGTCTTAAGCCATGCATTCGACCAAATGCAGACCCAATCTTAAGCCATGCATTCGACCAAATGCAGCTCCTTCTATACAACTGAACATCGCCGGCACGCCGAAGCGAGTATGTGTGTGCTTAAAAAGCAAAAGTACACTCACCCCCTTGATTAAAGGTGAGTGTCAGGGGCGTAGCCAGGGTTTGCGACGGGGAGGGACAAGTTTGCACGAGCGAGTCCCAGCCGCATTGACAACACGTCTATGCACTGTGAACTGACTGACAAATCCGACAACCGCTAATAGGCACAGTACCTAGCGCATCAATGAGCTACCAATATTGGTTTGCCCTGGTGCCTTGAACATTTCTTTCAGCTGCGTGCCGTACATATTTGCCCAGCCTATGTGCGAGTCGTGTTACTAATGAACCACTTTTGGACTCTTCGTGTCACTGCCCATGCTAGTGTCTGAGATTTCAAACAAAACTATTATTTGCCTGGTCACCAAAGTTCGGGATTACATACAGTAATATCATGTTAAAAAGCTGCTGCCGTGCCTAAAGCCATAGACCTTGAACCTCACGAGCAGAGATGAATGGAGGGAGGGGGGCCTCGGATGGCCGCGCTGTTCTCGTGTATTATTGCGTCGGAAAACAGTAATGGCGGTGCCACCCCCCTGGAGCAGCCGATGCACTGAAATGGGACCATGAAACGGGGCCATCCAGACAAATCCGTGGCCATGGCCAGGAGCGGTAGATATGAGAATGGTGCGCGCAGTGCAGTACTCGTCGGCCGTTGACCCTCCCTCTTACTCGCTCGGATTATGTCACGCTGGACCGCAAAAAAGTGGTTGTGTATGAAAACAAGCATGCGATAACCAAAGAAAGGGCATGTCCGGGTCCAACACGTTTTGCTGTCACAATGAGAAACAACACCGGTGGCTTGTAATACGGTCTGATTAATGCGCCTGTCAGGTACGTGGAAATGACCTATTTCGTTGTGTCGCAGATCTAAGATCCAGCTGTGGTGGAAATGGCAGGGCATGCGGACGCTGTGGAGGCCGCCTACCAGCAAATAGTCGCGAGGCCTCCAGTGCCCGCTCTGAACGAATTCGGCGAGGACGACGAGGTCAACGAGTCGGGCGAAGACAAGCCTCATGGTGGTGACGGCGAGAGAACCGAAAACGGCCCCCGACGCGGCGACGAGATAGACGAGGTCAACAACCAGCACGGGGCGCTGACCCTCGTTGCCGGCTTCGTGGCGGCCAAGCGCAAACACCTCGATCCAAGTATGGAACAGTCGACCCGAGAGGCACCACCCAGCTGTGTGCCAGACAGCTGGATACACGCGATTAGCCAAGGTGGTCTGGTGGTACCGTTGCCGGCCTAGACGAGCGTTGCCGAGGTTTCAAGATCGTTTCTCAGCTAGTGATGGGCCGGGACATGGACTGAGACATTGGTATCGTCGACCGCCTCACAAAGCTCCTGCTGAGCAGGTTCTGCGCTGGACAAGCGGATTGCTCGGTAGCTGGTGACGACGCGCATCCATCTGCGCCTCGGATGGCTTAATCAGGCTGGGGCTGAGCGGGCTGCTGCCAGGCTCGCAGTTAGACAGGTGCGACATCAGGTGGACAGTCTTCAGTGAACATCGTTGTGCTTATATGAACATACGTAAGTAAGTGACCTTACGTGAGTATCGTGCCTTCTTTGCCTTGCATGTGTCTGTCTGGGGTATAGACGGTTCCTTCGCAGATAAACGTTTGGGTTGATTCAGACTGGTGATCATGTCGCATAACTCTAGATTTAAGCTGAAAAATATAAAATTGTGTTCTCCGCCCCCCCCCCCCCTCTCCTCCCCTTCCTCGCCAAGTATGCGTAATGAAGTGTATGCTGGGCGCAAGAATAGTTTTAGTGAAATACGGTGACTTATGAGTCATACGTGTGTTCGATGAATTGGCTGCATGGCGGCACGGATATTTTCTTGATTAACGCCACGCACCACGACCTTCAGAGGCTTCGTGTCATAGTTGATGCAATGTGCAATGTCCACAATGTGCTATATTCTACCAGAGAGCACACCACTTCCGTCGTCTCAAACTGCCGCCATCACACACCAGTGCAACCAGGCGCGTCATGATGTATAGTGCTGAGGTTCAACGCGACAGTTCGGATGATGATCCTGGTGTCGGTCAGGTCCCTCTTTGGCAGTGGCTGGACCTTGGGCAGGCTCGCCAGCCTGCCTTTAAGCAGCTGTAGGCTGGCGAACTTCAATACATCGCCATAGACTCAATGTTTGGCATCCTCAGCAAGTGGGAGTGCCATGGCACACAGGCTCCCGGTTCCTAAGCCTATGTTGGCTGTTATACACCCAGCGTGGCAAAAAAAATTCATATTTCCTCATCGTACTTCTTGAAGCGCCCTGTGGCGATCACCAGATGCATTTGTTAGTAGGTGCACCGGTGTAGCAGACGCGAAGATAATGCTGGCTGAGCGGTGATGTCAAGCTGCGACCTTGTGACGTCACTGTAATGGTGAAGGGAAAGTGCCGTAAAAATCCCCGGATGATCATACCTTGCTACATAACCTTGGCGCGGTCAGGGAAAAGGGTTCTCGCCCGACGTAATCGGTGCGTTACCGGGAGGAGGTGATGGTAAAATGCCCAAAAATGCGTGACATGATTTATTGACGATCCCATATCGCACTTGTTGTCATAGTCCACCAGCCATCGGCGGACAGTTCGATGCTAAAAACGAAGTGTCTGGAAGGCATGAATAGCGCCTGGAAAGCGCCTGAAGTAAATGACGACGAGGGTAAACATTTTCTGGGCTCCACGTTCGTCAACTGACGTCATTTCCTCGCCAGCACTGGAACACTGGAGCGGTACGCTGAGAGGTATTTCATGTTTATGAGCACGAACGCGGTAAGTGCCGCGATACTTATTACTTGTTTCCCACAATTTGCAACTTCTCGCACTCTTAGTCATCGGGAAGAAGCTGAGCATTCATTTTATAATGTACTGTTGCTCATTAGATTTTTGAATGAAATTGCGCTGCTCTAGTTTTGAGCGCCGCACCGCCAGTAAAGAAGGCGCCAGGCGAATTTGTGATAAAACTGCACTGTTTACCTCTGCTGGCGCATTACAAGTTTGTAAGCGGTCGTGCTAAACATATGTTTCAAACTAGTCTTCCAAACATATGTTCATTTTACTCCTCGATATAGCAAAAGCGTGGATTTATCAACGGAAGATGTGTCGAGGTTTCGCCGTTGAGTCCGGCCTGGAGGCAGAAACAGGAGACATGAAAAGGGTGGCAGCAAACGGCGGACGGCAAAGGGCGTTCTGAGGAAGCTTCGCGTCGCCATAGAGTTCGAACAGCGGCGAATACATACCGAGGCAACATGTTGGAACTTGATCTGATCTCGCATATACTTTGAGCTGAAATGATCATGACAGCCGCAGTTATACCTGCAACGCTTTAGGGAGCTCTATGCTTTTTATTCTGGTGTCTTGCAAACCGTAAAACTTTTCGTTCTGCGGCCGACATTTTTGATGGGAAAGGAAGATGTTTGGTATGGTCTCCTCATGATTAACCCCTAGCTGAGGTAGCGGACGAGTAAGATTGAGAAAGACGTCTATCCCTAATTGACGATTGACTCTTGGTTGACTTAATGCGAACCCATATGCTTGCTGCAAAACATTTTAGGTGTCTGACGCTTGTGGAAATGGCCAAGAAACATGCATCGCACACAAATGACTAAAAGTAAAAAGATAACATTCCAACCACTCTGCTTGTATTCATTGAAAGCTTTAGGGGTAATGTATACCCATTCTTCAGCATGATGAAACAATGGCATTCATAAAAAAGATGGAGGCACACACTAAGAAAAACACAAGAAGTCACATGCAATCAACATACTTATCCTTCTGACGAAGCGAAAGAAGAATAGATGACTGTTTCTTTTTTCATTTCAGCCGTAGACAAATAATGCAAACAGTTGACAAAAAAAAAACACATGCAATGCACTTACAATATCAATACGACTACAGTACACGTCTTCTGAATGTTGTGATGTGACATGACCACTAATTTATACCGCGTATGCATGTTCAACATGTACATAGTTTTTCCACTTCTCGAAACCGATTCAAAAGCGACGCATACGGAATACTACAACGCTAAAACAAGATAACGCACGCGTGTACAAATTTCCTGACACGCAGCCCGCTATCGCACCCTGTATTAACACATTTCACCAAGCCGACTTCACTGTTTCCTAGTCTTTTAAGTTCAAAGTGTGATATTCACTCGCTATTGGTGCTCCCGGTTTTGCATTCAGAAGATTGTCGCTGCTGTTCTACAACTGAAAATATCCGCTCTTTCTTTTTCCAGGTTGAATAATACTCTAAAACACCCACTAGCGTTGTTTTGCCATAATTAAAAAACAAGCCGTGTGTTACGAAACATGTGACGTTATTTACAAGTTACAGACGTTGCGTTACAAAGCTGGCATCTTACGTTACATGTTAGACCGAGATCTCATGCATTATTTTGGACCGTCATAGTGGTTGTCATGTGGCCATATTGAAGCCGCGAGGGCTATTGTCTCGGAATGCATCTGTTTCAGTCGTTAGATGGATTTTTCACCGCACCGATTATGCAGCAATGTCACTGTTGGCCGAGAAACAGCAATGACGTAGGTCAATATATATTTCAGTGCAATTTGCAAATAAGCATATGTGTTACCACGGAAGTTCAAGCAGACATGCCGTCTAAAGCTACGTAAGCTATGCATCTGCTGATGTGCATAACATCAAGGATATGGTCAATTGGCATTTCTACTGGCACGCAGTGACTTTATAAAGCCACCAGCGTACAAAGCAAACAGCGCGTCTAAACTTATCTCCTCCAAAGTGTGCGATTTATTTGCACTGAACCACCCCTTGGTGCATTCTCAACACCATTGGCTTCAGTTGCTGTTGCTTTTGTCGGCTCTGACCGCCTGTATATCCAGCTAAAACTCGTTTATTTATTGCTGTTTTCAGGCAGACAGCGTGCGCTACTTTGTACCTTTGTATTATGCTGCCAATTTCAGCCGTATAATTTTACGTTACAACATAGACAGAGCATTGGTTTGCCATGGGACGTGTCACGTATGAGGGTTCAGTGACCCAGCGACCCAGTAAGCCAATCTGATCGCGAGGACTGGTGGCCCCAAACGCCGAAGCCGGCCAGCCGTCTCGGAGGCGTCCGGTCCAGTCTCCAAGGATCACTTCCCACTGTTCTGCATCTGCTGCTTCAGCCGGTCGATGTAGCTGTCCGCCGCGTCGCCGCCGGTGCCGGCGATTTCGTCCGGTATCTCCACCCCCACTGCAGGTGGCGATACAGGTCAGTGGGGCCTCGTGGTGCCGCGGGGCTACCACAGACCACAGACAATTCGTGAATGGGTTCAATCAGTGAAGCGATCTGGCGCTGAACCAAGAGGCCTGACGCCTGTTTTTTTTTACTTTTGTAGAATACTTTTTCGATCAGTCCCTTTACAAAGACGTCTTATGAAACACTCCATTCTGGGCCCTGGGTGCTGTCCTAGTGGTGTACATCTATCACACATCACTTAAACATGATCAGTCCTTTTACAAAGACGTCTCATGAAACACTCCATTCGAACAACGGCCTGGTCAGATACAAAAAAAGAAATGGAGTGTGACGCACATTAAGTCGCACATGACCTGTCCCAGCACGCTTCCCAAAACCGATTCTGAAGTCAACTCTGAAAAAGATGGAGAGCTCCACAGACTCTGGCAAGCTGTGTCAAAATTATGATTACTAAAATTCATCGAGTTTACCGAAGCTATCACTGGCAATCTAGAATGCATCTATAGAATACCATCGTGGTCAATTTGATCCTACGTGTAGTGTGTGTGTGTGTGTGTGTGTGTGTGTGTGTGTGTGTGTGTGTGTGTGTGTGTGTGTGTGTGTGTGTGTGTGTGTGTGTGTGGTGTGTGTGTGTGTGGTGTGTGTGTGTGTGTGTGTGTGTGTGTGTGTGTGTGTGTGTGTGTGTGTGTGTGTGTGTGTGTGTGTGTGTGTGTGTGTGTGTGTGTGTGTGTGTGTGTGTGTGTGTTGTGGGTGTGTGTGTGGGTGTGTGTTTGTTGTCTGCTGGTTGTTAGAGTGTGTAGAGTTTGGATAGTGTGCGATCATTTTACCAGTCTCTGATATGACTAAGGGCATATGACGAAGGGCATAATAAAAAGCACTGCTGTAAGATGCACACGAGTGCGTTCATCTCCAATTGCACTGGAACGATGAATAAGAGCAACAGACACGGCGTATAAATGGCCATGAATGCTTAAGTGTATAGGGCATCTTTCACAGCCGAGCACTCAGAATTGTTCAGCAGGCTATCCAGTTGGGTTATCCGGGCTCCAGCTGCTCGCAGCAGCTTTCGTTGCCAGACCAGTATCTCCCCGGGGGTCCCGTCGACACATTGCCAAACAAAAGACTTCCAAGTCGCATCTCGAATTAGACGGCGAATGGCGCACCTGCTGGCGACGTGAAATGCTGACTTTACATGACAGGTGAAGCCGGGGAAAAGGGTTGAGACACGTCTGCCCCTCTGCTATGTTTTTTTTTAAGATCTGCTGGGGCATGGCGTGGCGCATCAACGCCCAGATACAACTGTACCGATGTTCACCATCCACAGCTATTCACGCGTCTCCGGCTGTTCGGTCTCCGCTGAAGTATGACAGAAAAATTGCAAACAGTACGGGGAAGCTTTCCCAAATGAGTTGGTGAAATTAAAGACTTTTGATTGGGGCTAATATTTGTGACTGTACCTGTCCATGATGGTCACAAAAGTCTTAACTCTAACCTTTGCAATATCAAGTGCTGCAAATTCCGCAAAAGCCAGGGAGCTTCTACATCCATCCATTGCATCCTTCAAAGCAGGGAGAAAAGTGTGGGCGTCATGCTTTGCACCGTTTGTTAACCTGTGATCACGCGAACTATGTATAAGTGATATATTGCAGTTTTACGAGCCGCTGTGCACACAAACTGAGCAAATAATAATCTCGCACCCACCTCTGGTGACTGCTTTAAGTGATATTCATAAACATCCATCCCACATTTTAGCTCGAATGAAGTTAATTACTTCATAACTTTTAAAAGTCATGGAAGTCACTGGAAATGCGCGCGTCTTATTTGGCCACTTGCATCGTTCTCCATTTTATGCATTAATTGCATCAAATTGATTTTCTTATTAATTCAGCTTTTATTAATCTCTTATTAATTCATCCAGAATCAGAATTAGCAAAGTAGAATGGCATGAATTAACGATTGATGCGACTTACTTGTAAAAATGCGTCCAATTCATGCTATTTCGATTCGGTGCTCAAAAATGCTGAGTCGAATCGATTCGAACCAGGGGAGGGTGAAAAGAGCACATCCCTTCTATGTGCCGACAAATGCGAACCGACGATACTTTTTTGCAACAAGCATGTTCTGAAATTTGGCACAAAACAGCTATGCAACACAAAGCAAGCCTTTGTTCGCTATACTGAATTTAAACCGTCTTTAGCGTTGTCAACTTCAGGTGACTGGGGCAAACTACGAAAGCTTTGTCGCAGATCCTCAATATTGCTTATCCACTTGATTTCACGCTTTCAAATTATGCAGTGGGCGCATCGGAGACACTCGCGTAACACTTAGTTTCAGTGGACATAACCGAAGCTTGAATATTCTCAATGGCGCTTCACGATTGCTATCACATGCACGTGACCTCAATGGCCGAGGTGATTTGTCTGCCACACGCAGGCTTAGTGTGCGGGCAGCACTGCACCAGCCAGCCAGATGAGCCACGGCGCGGCGGACTATCGCTGAGCGCGGAAAACGCTATCTTATTAAAGGTAAACAGCTAAGACGTGCAGGCATGGTGATGCAAGCCCAGTGACCTCTAGAGCACATCTGGACAGGATCAGATTTGCAGAGAGGCTTGGTTGTGCACCCACGTTGCACTGTACTTACGATATCGCTTCATTGGTCTTTGGATGCGACGAAATCCATAAAATCTAGGTCGCTCCACACTTGACTGATATGGCAGCACGTTTTGCAATCTTCGGACTCCAAGAATGGGTTCTGAAACAGAAGTGATATTTTATGCATAGGTCAGATTGGACGTGTATCTGACACGCCCAGACCTGCCGCGGTCTGCCGCCGCCGACCCTGGGTCAGCGGTCGTTTGCCCGTAGCCCCCGGCGGTGGGTCACGTGACCAGGTGGCAAGGTCGGCACGGTGCGGGGCGCGCGGTGGGCAGAGGGATTCGGCGGCCGTAGTAAACAGTGTTCTGCTTGAAGCTGCACCACCGAAACAATATGTCGGGAACGTGTAAACATACATACATACATACACACACACACACACACACACACACACACACACACACACACACACATATATATATATATATATATATATATATATATATATATATATATATATATGAGCTGGAAGAAAACAAGTCGACATCAAAAGAAAGCGCTTGTTTTCTCTTAATCATGTGCTGGGTACAAATGACGCCTTTCATCAGTCTTCTATGACGATTACTTGCTCCAGACGATGCATACAGGCAGGAATTCAAGCATTTGGCTTATTGAAGATGTTTAGTTATGGTGGAAGTGTTCCAAGACGAGCACAAATAATGATAATAACTGGCAGCGTTTCAGCCTCAAGAAATCCCAAACAGCTGAACCATTACCAATGAAAAACTACAGAATGCTTACAACTCAAAGACAATGCTCCACATTTGAAGACAATGAAGCAGGCATCATATATGATGAAATAAGCTCACTTATACCTAATGGTATACCTTTAAGTGGAAATGTTGCTCTAGACGACACACTTCCTCTGTTTGGTAGGCATGTTCCCCAATGCGTCATTGTATGATTACGTCCTCGTACCTCGCACAATATTGAGAGCCAGTTGACGGTCGTTATATCTGGAAGTCGTGCTCACGAACGCCAGACACGGACGACTAGACAGTTGTATTTTCCTTGGCCTTGTTGGCCGCATGGCTGATGGAATGACAGGATTGGAATGACGCTATTATGGCGTCATGGATGCCTAGGTGACCTCGCAATAGCCTCTCAGAAATTCTCTGCACATATTCGCAGGCGGCTCAGAAGCTAGATTGTTTTAAGGCCTTAAGAAGGACAGGGCTGTGAAATGTACCAAACGATCTTCGAGATGACGATTTCAGTAAATACCCCTACACAAATATGGAACACTCCCTTAAATAATTGAACCGCTGCAACTGAACATTTGAAACTGATTTGTATCCCTGGGATTATGCTTTGCTGGACCTGGGCCACATTGCAGTGAAAAAGTGGCACATACCAAAAAATTGTCGACAGCAAGGTCTTTTGACGTCAAATACTACGCAAATGTCAGACAGTCTTCGCAAATGTCACTAAGCGTGCAGCCAACATTACGTATTTTTAGCACTATCTAGTATTGCTAATGCACTGTTACTAATGCAAGGTATTCTACGTCAGTACATGTTTGTACTTTGCGTTTAACTTGACGCAATGGACGAAAATCCCGTGGTAACTGAAAACACTACAATCGTCTTTTGATTTCCCGCAGGCCCTTTTCTAAGACCAAAACTTTGCTGAATTATCACACCGTAAAGAGAGTCTTGCAAGTAGAGAGGAGGTGACCCAATTCATCAGGAACCAACATTGTCACTTTCTGCGCACTCGATTCGAAAACGTCTTTTGGTAAGCTCGATCCGAAGCCCGATACCTTGAGACACGTGCACCATTACGAATCTTGGCTTACAATCGTGCTATCATGCAATCAGGACTAATATTTGGTTTCATGGCTGGAATTTCGCACCCTGAACACCGTCCATTCGCATGCGGGGTGGTTCACTTTTCTTTTGGATAGACACCCAGTGTGTCGTGTAGGTCTCTGATAGGTTAAGAACGCCACACGTCAAATGCGGGTTATATGCTCCTTTTATGACGATACTGCATGGTCTTAAGTTATACAAAAACGGCATAATGTTCGTGCGAATGTCCAATGCAACAAGGGCACCACTGACCTTCCAGGTATGGGCTGCGAATGCACGATGCAACAAGGGCACCACTGACCTTCCAGATATAAGCTGCGAATGCCCAGTGCAACAAGGACACCACTGACCTTCCAGGTATGGGCTGCGAATGCTCAATGCAGCACGTGCACCATCGACCTTCCAGGCATGAGCTGCGAATGCCCAATGCAACACGTGCACCACTGACCTTCCAGGTACTGGTTGCGAATACCCAATGCAGCGCGTGCACCACTGACCATACAGATACGGGTTGCCGATGACCAATGCAGCACGAGCACCACTGACCTTCCAGGTATGGGCTGCGAATGCCCAATGCAACACGTGCACCACTGACCTTCCAGGTATGGGCTGTGAGTGCCCCGTGCAACACGCGCACCACTGACCTCCCAGGTACGGGCTACGGATCTTCTCCAGGCTGCTGACGGGCATGGCATCGTACTCGAGCTCCAGCCTTCGACCGGCACCAGCGGCCAGCAGCAGCCAGAAGCCGACCAGTGCGCGGAAGCCGTACCGAGTTACCATGGCGGCGGCGGCTCTGCAACGGTATGACGTGCCAGCCCAACAGACCCAGCAGCCCATGCCCGCCGAGCCCGACGCACAGGTCACACCGAGAGCCAATCAGCAGCGGTTGACAACCCACGCCCGCCGAGCCCGACGCACAGGTCACACCGAGAGCCAATCAGCAGCGGTTGACAACCCACGCCCGCCGAGCCCGACGCACAGGTCACACCGAGAACCAATCAGCAGCGAGTCACCCGACCGCAGCGACGTGGAACACCGCAAATTGGTGGGCGGTCCGTGAGCAACGCGACAGGTGTGCGATAAACCGAAACGGGCGACACATGTTGAAAGACATACCACTCCGTCCTGTACAGACCTCCGCGTGTGGCTGTGCTCTGCTCCGTCTAGCCGCCAACGATCAGGACTCGGACCCAGGAGGATTCAAGGCGTCTGGAGAGAAATTCCTTGTTTGGCATACATGCGACCAATCAAAAAGTTATGAGAGGTAGGCAGCGAAGAAGCCGCTCCCAAGGGATATCGCAGTTTTTCTCGGCAGGGCCTGGGTGATGCCACGATCTAGGCCAACTTCAAGTTGCAAGTCCGTCCAGGTCACACCCAGAATCATTTTCCTCTCCAAAGTACTCCACGGACATCCGCGTCAGCTTTCCTACGCTCAAGGGCAAACTTCATGTCGTATTCCTTCTTATGGAAAACTATTCACGCGACAGTTTGTATGGCATACATCAGCATAACACTTAACCGTACGCGAATAATCGTAAGTTCAAGTGTTCGTAAACGTTCACAATGTAAAACTGTATGTCCGCATGATTTTTCAAATGCATTTGTTTACTTGTTTACTTGTTTATTTAGCACATAATCGGTCCACAGGCAAAAGCCCAATTGCGGAAGCAGTCCAGTTTAAAAAATAAATACGCGACACGCACAAACAAAAATTTACCCGCACACACACACACACACACACAACACACACGCATGCACATTGCACACAGTCACGCATGCACCTTACACGCTGACACAACGGTCATAAAAAATGCTCTACGAGTGCCGGCTGAACCCAAACAAACCACATCAGAACAATTTTGTTAGCTGGGAAAAGTCACTTGTTAGAAAATGCTGTGGAAAAAATTGCAGGCAACGGCTAGACAAGCGGCAAATCTTTTCACCAGTGTTGACCCTTGTTAGAGTAGGCGAAAAGCTCATAATCCAGTGGAGGACACTGGGAATGAGTATTCGAACCAAACCACATGAGAAACCGGTGGTGTAGTCGTTCGAACCGGGTGAGATGGCAAACGGGAGCATCGCTTCAAACAACGCTACCGCACTCAGTGATTTCACATGGGCGTTGAAGAGACACATCAAGTCCTTTTGATTTAACTGCGCTTGACCAGGACATGACGGCTTGAGACAGTCCAATCTATGTGATTAGCAAAGGTGAGCTGGTGTCCAGGGGACACCAAGATTGCGAATCTGCTGGCAGCTATCCGAGCGTCGATTATTTAGTGCATATGGGCAATGTACAAGTGACGTGCGGAGGGTGAATGGGATGGCATTGCACTTAGCTTGGTTCAATTTCAGGCCCCAGTTTTTGGACCATTCACAAAGGCGATCCAAATCCGCCTGAAGTGTAATGCAATCTGCTTCGTTGTCGATTTGGCGATAAATTTTCACATCATCGGCGTATGTAAGTCGCTCTTTCTCTCTCTCTCTCTCAGTTTTATCAGACATCTGCCAGAAAGCACGAACATCAACGGTTCCAAGATGCTGCCTCTCGTAGCAACTGATCGCATTCAGCCAAACTGCTTGCCGTTCAGCACCAGGCGTTATAACGGTTACTCAAGTACGACTCCAGCCAGCTGTACACGTGGCCAGTGGCGCAAAAATAATGGCCAAGCGTTGTACGGTAGAAGAAGGCGACTAACGCTGGTGAATGCTGATGCGTTTTTGGTGTAAATTGGAATTGCTTGCTTACATTTTGAGATAAATGTCCAGCAGTGTTAAAAAAACATGCTGTATGTAGTTGGATTATACGGCACCTTACAGTACAGTACAGTAAAGCTGTATAGTCCAGGCGCATCGGGCAGAGGCGGGTTAGAGCGAGAAAACCACAATACACGGACGTTAGGGCCACAAAACTTACCGCCAAAACACATATTCAGACAATGGGTACCCTCCTGATCGTCCTCGTGCACGTTGCCATCGCGTTCAAGAGAGGGAGACATGTGCGTTGATGACTTCAAGCACTTAACGAAGGACCAATAACGCTTCGGGTTGTCCTTAGTCTCCCAACGGACCCAGCGCGTGTTCGCGCAATTAAGCATCCACTGCGGTTTCAAAGTCGGCTCTGATAGTATGTAAGGAAGTGCGGTGTCCAGCAATATTTTCGGTGGTCGGACACGCCTTCGTACGTCTGTAATCCAACTCTCTGCCACGCAGCAAGTCTCGAACGAACCGGTTAAACCATGGAGTAAGTTCCTTTCGGAGCTAGACCACATGCATGAAGCCTGCCGTGGCCGCGAACACAAGGTCACGGGACAGGCGGTCAGCAACGTCAACAATTAAATCATTTAAAATACGCCGAGCAATAAGCCTGATTGCATCGTATTTCCTAGAAAACACGCTTCCTTTGCATCACATTTCTTACAGGACACAGTTGTTTGCATATGTATGTTTTGGAAGCGCATTTGCTCACATACACAAATACGCGCCTCCCTTTTCTTACATACACAAAGCTTCTTATCGTCTTTCTTCGTGAACCCCTATTCGCATGGTATTTTTTGCATACTCAATACCTAAGCTTAGAGTGATGGAAATCAGTAATATCAATGGCGCATAGCAGCCGAGAACCGATAACGGATATAAATCAGTAACCGACAACGGGTGAGACAGTGATGAAAAGGGGTGAAGATCAATACACTTTGTTTCCTGCATGATGCAGAAACGTACCTCATCCAATAAAGAAAAACATAAATATCCAGATTCAGAATCTTCTGGGCTGTTTCCTCGCGTTACATGTGTTCATGTAAGACCATATTAACGGAGCCCTTTTGAGAAATGTCTGATGCGATTGGGATCCATTGTCTCCAAGTAAGTCTACATGTGGCGGTCGTATATTAAACAGCGTGATGTTTTTCTTTTAGGATGAATCAGCATTGAAGCTACAGGAAATGAGCAAAGGCAGCAGCAGTCACGCTGTACCCCAGCGGCAGTAGTCATATTATTTTCCATGTGCTAGTACAAATAGTTTTTGCACCAAGTTTCTCGGATGTGAGGAGTTGCGAACGTCAAGTCTTCTTAGTACAAGTGCTCACGTACGACAAATTGCGCGACATTCGGGATGCGAAGGTCTACAAGGATCTCTGACCCCAAGGTTTGCGTTTCCAGGCTTACGCACGAAGCCTTGCGTTCAAACGACAGTGATACGAAGATGTGTGCACGACATTTTGATATGAAGCAATGCACTACGAGTAAATGTGGTATATGTCCGCTACCGAGCGCACTGGTCTGTCGGTTAACGCGCGCTCGGGTGGGGGTCAAATTCACCCTCCAAAGGGTTTTTTTCCTGAATGGTTTCCGAACGGCACGATGTACCCGCGCCCAAATTTGCATAGCTATAGACAATCGAATAGCAAATTGTGTGGTATCAATAATTTAGACATACCTTTTAAGGTCGCTGACCTACAGCAGGTCAAATTCAGGCTATGTATTTAGATAGGGCAATTTCTAGGGAAGCTTTCACTCTAATGCAACAACGGAGTGTTGAACAAGATAATACATCTCTGAGATAATTTCTGAGGCAACACAAGAATGAAATGACCTAATTCCATTGATCTAAGGACGGGTATGAAGGTCAGACCAAGGTCAAAAGCAACCTACTTTATTGCGCTGGAGTTTTCTGTATGGGGTAGCCTCTGGTGCTCATTTCGAATTTATTGATAACAGAAACCGCATCACACATTTTCTATGAACTTGTTAAAGGTCAGAATATGTCACTGATCTGAAATGGCTCAGGTTGACACTTTTTCTAAGAAACATATTGCCTAGCGCAGTCTTTGTCGCTTATTTAATTGCACAGCTCAAAGCAGTCCTGCATGATTTTAGTCACCATGATCTTCAAAAGGTCAAAAAAGATCACTGAGGTGAAATGAGCATGCGACCTGGCGATTATAACAGGAATCTAGATTCTGGGGACACTTTGGAGACCAACTTGGGGCTAAGCCTTGTTTGACCTCATTTGATCTGAAGGCGATGATCTTGAAACCTCAAACTTAAAGGCTAAGTGAGCTCACGTACAGGTCAACACACCTTAAAAATTTGGTGCCTCTGTCCTTCTTAGTTCCTGAAATCTGAAGAGGGTCAAATTGACCCCCGCCCGCGCGAAGAGCACCCAACTGGCCATCCGGGCACGTGTTAACACCACGGGGCGACTAGTAGCGTGGAGGCGGAGGCACCTGTCACTCCAAACAACACGAGACTTCGAGACTTCGACGAGACCGACTTCACAAACCCTCTTCGTGACCGTCAACACGAGGCCGCGCGCGCCTTCCGTATGGTCGGTAGTTTCGCCTGTGTGTAATCTCAGCACACTCGCCCCCCCCTAGCCGAGAGCAGCAGCCATGCCCGTCCCGCCAATGGCACTGTCAGGCGCACGGCGGCCGGCAAAAGGCAGTGCCTGGCGCCACTTTCGCCACGAGACCGGCGGCGAGGGCGGGTGGGGTCCCGTGCCGCCGGAAGCCGTCGAGCGTCTCGCGGGCCGTATTCAGCGGTGCTGATCGGGCCGGCTGGCGGGATACGGCTGACAGGGACAGGTGCCCAGGAGTTAATGGGAGCATATGGAGCAAGAGACTCCCCATACATGGGGCCGACGCGCGCTGATGCGGCGAGTAGGAGGTGCTGAACTTCTGGTTAATGGTGGCATACGGAACAAGAGGTGACCCATACATGGGGCCGGCGCGCGCTGATGCGGCGAGTGGGAGGTGCTGAACTTCTGATTAATGGTGGCATACGGAACAAGAG